ACACACACACACACACACACACACACAGACAGCCTCTCGACAATATGCGTTTTGCTGGCTGTAGCACAGCAAAAACGTATAAAAACTACTCGAGAGGTGCTAAGTTGTGTAAAAAAGCAGGCATACAATTGCACTTTAGTACAAGATTGAGTCTGCAGCAAAAAAAAAAACAAAAGGCCCTGCCATCCGGTCAATCACTTGCTGTTAGCAAGATTTGCACACACTATAAATTTGACCAAATTTGAATTTTCGTTCTGTTATTTTACCTTTGCGCCTAACTGAGATAGCGCATGGTTATCAGAAATTTTTTCCAAATGCAAAATATCGAAATCCCATTGAGTATCGTTTAATAAAGCTTTTTTAACATCAGCCGAAACAAATCGCCGACCGTCAAAACCTGCCGAATTATGCTTATCCTTGAACGCATCCACAACGGATCGCTTCCGGCTACGAGGCATGTGATGCAGCTGAAAATTACAAAAAGGTCATTTTAAACGTTCTGCTTCCTCAAGCACATGTACGGTGCTAAAAAAGCCCATTTAAATTGAAAGTAATAAATTTTGCAATCAAGTCCTGCTTAAATCTCGAATCAGCGAGCTGACTAGAGATAAGCATACCTCTACTTTTTTGAAGTCATTTTAGTACTCACTTCTTCGAGGAAGTAAAATCCTCCTTCTCCCTTAAGCGCGCGCACGCTGGCTGAGGAGGGTTTTTTTTCTTTTACCAGTATTCCTTGTCATATCTTTAGATTACCAGTTTCTCTGCTAAAATGTATGGACAACATGTCTTTAAAAAACTCCTGCAAACTTCAAGAATTTCAAATCAAACAGATTGCCATTGCAAAAGTTTTCTGGATTCGTAGCAAAGCATGCTTGGTTAGCTGTTGCCCCCTAACTTCATAGCTGTTTTTTTGGAACTAATACAATCCCTGAACAAATGAGAGAGGTTTTTACAAATGGATCTTAAGATCCATAACAGAAATCTGGGCCAAAAAAACTTACTCGAATCAGCCCATCGTAATAGCCGGTTGCTATACGGTCATTGTTACCAAAACGAGTTATTGTTGGTGCATATAGTTCGGCTGAGGACAACACCTACAACAAATCCCAGCAATTCTGTGGCTTGAATTAAGTACAACTTCAGCTGCGGGAACAGGAAGATGGGGACGAAAGATAGGAGAAGGGTGAGTTAAAAAATTAAAACTGTAAAAGAAGATGGAAAAAAAAAATTACGCGGAGCGAGGAATTTTGGAAATTGCAAAAAATGATATATTCAAAATGCAGAGCGTTGAGTCTAATAGCGAACAGCTGACGGGTTTAGTGTGTTCGCGATCTGTGCTTAAACTCAGAAATGTCTTTTGTCCTCCGACATCAGCAATCGTCAAAACAAGATATGTGGGATACGATTTATGGAAATTCTTGACAAAATGAATCAAAAAGATTCAGACTTGCCAATTTGAATAGGAGCCTTTTCACGCTAATTTCAAAGAAAAG